GTTACCTGGTGAGATCGCCAAAGACGTTGACCAGGAATTGGGCGGTAAAAAGCTTACCGCAAAAAGTTATGAGACATTGGTACCACTCTCAAGTCCTTCAATCGACGATGTCTCAACGGTAGATAATAAGATGGCGGTGGACAACAATAAGCTGGGGGTGAGTAGCAAGAGATTTCTACTGAAAATGGGAAGCTTAAATCACGATTAATATTATTTAATTGGCTTTTTTTAGACTGACTCTATCTGTCAATCTGACAACGAGAAAGAAAATGSTAGCAGCGAGGTATCAATTCTTGTTTATTGTCATCAACGCGAATTAAGTGGCAGCGATCATTTTAACGAAAAGGCAGAGCCATTTTTAGCGTCCCTACCGAGTGAAGACGAGGCATGCGCTACCGAGGAGGAATGCTGGACAAAAGAATGCCAGTCCAAATCGGGAAAGCAAGCCAATATTAGGTAAGGAAGAACTCATGGTGATTCTTCTATAAGTATCAAAAGTATTTTTATACTTAAAAGTATTCGACAATCTTTTACATATAATATGGGTGCAAAAGGTACATTCTCCAAACAGTTTGGAATGGAGAATACCATAATGTCGACATAATGCTATAGTTAACAATCCTCCCTTTTTGTGTGACAGCTCTGAGAAAGCCACCGAAAGTGAGCATTCTGTGGATTCACAAGCWGCCAAAGAAGATAAGAGTAAGTTAGAGCGCAAATGAATAACATACAGATTTAATAACTTTCATTTTCTCAGCGCAACATAYCTCAACATAGCTGAAAAAGAACTATCAGTTAGAGCTCTACTAATCGTGTTTTCGTCAAATMAATATATATAAATTGCCGCTCTATTTAAACGACACGTACATGCACCAACCATTATTTTGTAGAACAAGTTATCAAGGGCCTTTCMGGACCAATAATGCTTGCTTAAATCCTATATAAGACGGTGGATACTAAGTAGTATGAGTTGCGTACACAGTTGTGTAAAACAATAGATTTATCACCGAAAAAAGATAGGTGAAACAACTTACTGACGTTTCGGACGTTAATCCTTGTTCGGAGTAAAAAAAACACGCCAAATAATAAAGGTTTTATATTTTACTATGAACATACATTTTCTGAAATATGAATAGACGCATGCGTAGTTTGCAGCTAATTCATTAGATAAATAGAGATATTACATGAAAAGATCTCACGAGTGATCGTAGAGTAGTGAAAATATCAATTTTATGAAATGGAGAAATTATAGGTGTTTCATAGATAATTATATGATAAAGACTAGTCTTTTGATAGTAGAGTAGAAGTTAGTTCGGCATCACTCGAGCTGCCAGCACCCGGATACCGTTGTAAGTAAATTAAAGTCTGTTCGATGTTCTTGTTGTAGACGATGGTCCATCGTTGCCAAACTCAGRATCAAATGTACCTGACGAAACTGCTGAAAGTGATGATGACTCGACGAATGTTGGCTGTGCTGATATTATCAAAGTAAAAGCTAAAAGGTGGTATAAGAATCTMAAATCTTTCGCAGCAAGATGTGTAAGGCCATTAAAGATTTGCAGGAGGAAGAGGAGTTCAAAGGTGGCTCCAATCGTTGTGGAAATCCCGGCTGATGTCCCTCAGTCGAAAGGTATGGAGTTGTTGAAACTAACGAATAATAACTGTATGTATTACTGTGTAGTTATAAACCTGTTCTAATTCCTCTTTCCGATAATTTTATTCCGACAGCTCCTGTACAAAAACGAAGGATCCCTTCCTTTTTGTACAGGTTTCAGGATAAAATTATCGATAAAGTTCATGTTAAACAACAAGAAGATGAGACTGTTGATAACCAGGAAGAAATTAAAGTCTGTTCCACTCGATGAGCAAATTGAAGAGACATTGTTAAGCTGCCTGATCATCATCAGTCAAAAGGTATGGTACCTTTTGACTGATAGTGATCAGGCAGCTCATCAGTGTATGAAATAGAAAACTTGCGAGCAATAACGTTTTATGTATTGCTTTATGTTATAAACCACTGCGTTTGTGTGGACATCCGTGTATAGTTTAGTTACCTGTAGGGCTGTATTAATCCCTTTTTCAGATAATCTCATCGTGCAAAAAGCGAATTATAAACTAGAAGTTGGTGACAACCAAAAAGAAGAAACGTCAAAGTCTGCTCATCTCGGCGAGGAAATAGAAGACACTGTTGAGCCGCTTGATCAATCAAAAGGTATGGAATAGAAATCTTTCGAGTAATAAGTTTTTATGTATTGATTCATTGTTATAAACTGCTGTGTTTGTGTAGCGACATCCGTGTATAGATAGAAGTTTTCTTTCTCAGCTTCTTCATATTCTAATTTTTCTCTCGGACCGGGTTTGAAAAGTAAAATTTGATATGAACAAATCCAAGAGTTGGGAGAAAGTGGCATGAGGTTTTTACTGACCATGCCCAAATTAGGCGAGAAGCGCATTGTAAAGAGGATTGTGTTCGAGCTCGCAATTTATAATGTGTTGGTCATGCCTGAATATCAGTTTCAACTTCTTTCGTAATATCGAAGCTTTTCTTTTCCGAAGAAAACATGGTGGAAGATGAGAAAGAAGATGAGGAAGAAGAAATCAAGGTTGGAGAAGAGAGAGAAGACGAGGAAGAAGAAAGTATAGAAGATGACGAAGAGGAAACCATGGAAGAAGAGAAAAAAGATCAGGATGAGGACGAAGACGATGAAGAGGAGGGTGATGGAGATGAAAATCTCTTTTTACAAGATAGTTACCCAGAATGGGGAGGGGCAAATAGAATCCCACCTTACGGCAGAGTTCGTTTTATTAACACCTGTCAAGTTGATGCCTGGATGGTCATTTTCCACGCCCTATGGAAAGAAAACGAAGATGTACGAAGCGCTCTACAGAATGACCCAGGGTCTGAAATGATGGTCTCCATTGAGAACWACTATGAACAAGGAAAGTTTGATGACATCAAGAGTCTCTTATTCCACGCCAACTCAATCCGACCGAATTGGAGACACATTGCTGATTTTTTTCAAAATCAGTATCTTGCTTTTGTTCGACACATGAAAGTTTTATATGAAAATAAACAAATGTCAATATGCTCATCTGAACATTGCCCCAACCGTGAACGCTTGATGTGTGTGGAKGATGGAGTAGGTTGGGTCGRGCCCGAAATACCTCTACTTGAATATGTGACAGATTGGATTCTAGAYAGCGGTGTATCTAAATGCTATGAAGTTATAAGGTAAGAATTAAGAGTCTACCTTTAATTTAGGCAACGATTGCAGTTTTGCTGAAATACAAGTAATGTGTTTTCTGTCAATTCTGCTAAAATCAGACGGAACTGAGAAACTCTTCCTGATAACCCTTTGTCAATCCCTGGCATATTATGCATGCGTTCTGCGAACATTGCAGACGCATTGCATACGYGATAAAGTTATTCAACCATACAAGAAATGCAAATGGTCTACGTACTTACGCATTTTCATTGTTATTGTTTTTTAATTAGTCGGACAAAAGACGAAGGCACTAAACGAGAGTCAATCGTCTATTGCGATGGATATCGTGAGTTAGATAAACGTGTCTTTGAGGGAGGCGCCTCTCTTCCTACAGTGCTACCGGTCGATACAGAGTCCATGGCGCAAATGAGTAAAATAAAGCTGGAGTTCGAAGATATCCCCAAGGATCTTGATGTATTTGGCAGAAAGTAAGTAAGGGTATATGCTTATAAACTATTCAATCGCGAGTACAGTATTACTACACATTGCACAATCTAGACCCCATCCACACTACATGGGAATCTTTATAGTGTCCGGGCTTGACCCTATACCACGGTCCCTTGAATCTTGGTCCCGGGACTCTCTTAGATAAGGGGTGGGTGGGAAGGGGGATTTCTGAAAATAACCTCTTTTATAAGGAAGTACCGCCCGGGATTGCTTGAGCATTACGCTTGAAGAGTGCCGTAGGAGTTGTCACTTCTGTTTTCCACATTATTCCCGTATTTATCAGGAATCTAAACTATTCACTTTTATTTGTTGCAGATATACACTACGAGCAGTCACATTTTATAACAAGAAAATAAAACACTACGTTTGTGCAGTTTGGTACACAAACAAATGGCTTTTTCATGACGGACTGGAAAATAATGGCGTTCCCGAGCTCTTTTTAAACCCCAGTTCGTTGAGGACTATAATGTTAGCTATTTACTTTACGATTGAATTTTGTTTTGCCTCTTTTTCATGGTCAGTATATAACAGTATCAATAACCTTTGTCTCACTATTGCTCGTCACTTTGTGAAAATTATATCCAATTAATAAAACAGATTACAAAACCCTAAAATACAGACATATTCATTCCTTCCCATATAATCATCCATTGACTGCAATACGGCTTAGTTTACGTCATATACTGTGTACGCAATGCATTGTAGGATATGTTAGGGTCAAAACGTGGATCTCTTTTGTTTTCTGCAAGCTGATCCTACATTGCGTTACAAATCAAMTAGTCTATCGTTTCGAAATCTCGTTTGCGCAGCCTTAGCATCAACTGCACGCAAGCTCAGTTTGTTGTTTTCTCTCTTGCATTGAAATAGAGTGGTTTTCATAAYCCCGTSAAACAAAGTGTAATAATTAGAGTGTAATAGATCGTAATAGTCGCGTAGAGACAATAAAAACAAGAGCCAAAGTGTAATAGCGATAAAGACGCTAAAGTGTGTTTCACGGCCGTTAATGAAAACCACTCTAGAGTTTAAAGAAAACTATTATGTATTCGGAGAGTTTAAGCGGAAGGGGGGGGCACTCCCGCTATTCCTACAGCATCTGTTCAGCGGTATTTGCGTTAGCTATACTGTATCAAAACTCAGCTCAACCTCGTTACCAGAGCCTCCTATTAGCAGAGAAGCACTGGGGATGAGGTTGTTTAAATGTTCAAGGACTCTTAATGCTTTTGAAAGACGTCAATTGCACGCTTTATGGATGTTGTAACAAGGTGAGTAACCAAATAACGACTGTATGCTAGTATTACTCAATTTCGGGAGTTTTATTTTAGAATTTCCACCAGAATTGTTGCAGTAAATAAAAACTTAATAAATAGAAAGATTCCCAACTGCTGACATGTCGCTTTAGGTATAAATTGCAAGTCAGTCACCATAGTAATTATAAACGGCCTACTAATAACTCGACGTTGATAACCCAGCGTTTTTTGACAATTTTTTTCCATTGATTTTGCTTCTGAAAAACTTGCTAGAAATTGTTGTGGTGCCTGTGGCCAAAAGACAAAATCAACTAATTTCCAGTCTTTCTACGCACATTGCCACACCCATTCCACCACCAACACACAACGCAGCCACGCCCCGTCTTTTCCCAGTTCGTTTAAGATTATGTAGTAATGTTACGAGTATCCTGCAGCCTGAAGCACCAATGGGATGACCCAAAGCAATAGCACCGCCTGTGATGTTAACCTTGGTGACGTCTAGTTTTAAGTCTTTTACAACAGCACACGATTGTGAAGCAAAGGCTTCATTCAATTCAAATAAATCTACGTCTTCAGATGACCATCCTGCCTTATTCAACTAAGAAGAAAGAAATGAGAATAAATGGATAAATGGATGGATGAGATAGATAAATTGGTGATCACATTGACAAAAGCACAACCTCAAACCATATAGT